TTAAATAATTGAAATTATTCTATTTAACAAAGTTTAAGGTTGTCAATATGTACTTAAAGGATCATAAGTTAGAAAATGCAGTAACAGATTTTTCTAAATTCTCTATTATTTCAAAATTGGTACCTTTTTCAAACAAATTAGGCCCTAGTAGAGTTGTTGTTTAATTCGATCTTTTCTATTTTTTTGTAAGTATTCACAGGGTTCAGAATTCAAAAGACCCAAAAAGATATCTAGAGAAAACTTCCTCCTTCCTCTGTTCCTAGGCACTCCAGGGCAAACGTTGGATATCCTTGCAAAGATTTCATCCATACCCAGGACAATAGGTTTACATGTTCTTTTATCTCCCTTTTTCATACAAATGGTAGCATATGCTACACACTGCGCCACTCCTGGCTTTTCTCAGTTAACACCACGTCTTGAACAGCAGTCCATGTCCAACTACACAAAGAGCTTTGTCTTTCTTTTTGACAGATATCTGGTATCCCAGCAAATGGATAGGCCACACTTTATTTAATGAATCCCCTGTTAATGGACAGTTGGACTGTTTCCAGTCTTTTGCTGCTAACAACAAGTTGCTCTTATTGAGTGCCAACCTCTGTTCTGTATGCTTCACATAAATCATTTTATTTAAGCCTCAGTGCTATAAAGAAACCCTTTCATATACATGATTTCACATAAGGGGAATATGTATACTAGATAATCCCTAGAAGCAGAATCTCTGGGTCTGATATGTACGTTTGATTTTGGCAGGTGTAGTGGATATGCCAGTTCACATCCCCACTCACAATATAAGAATGTGCCTGATTGCTCCCACCATGGGCTTTCAAAACTTTGAATTTTACTAATTTTTTTTTTTTTTGAGACGGAGCCTCAAGCTATCCCCCTGGGTAGAGTGCCATGGCATCACAGCTCATAGCAACCTCCAACGCCTGGGCTCAAGCAAGTCTCCTGCCTCCGCCTCCCAAGTAGCTGGGACCACAGGCACCCGCAACAACGTCTGGCTATTTTTTGGTTGCAGCCATCATTGTTGTCTGGCGGGCCCAGGCTGGATTCGAACCCGCCACCTTAGGTGTATGTGGCTGGCG